CGCGTACGATGGAGTGCGTTGCGACGCCGCGTGCCGACTGAAGCCGTCGTTTTTCCTCCTGGTGGCACCGAATAGCGGGGTGGGGGACGGGTGCGTCTGCCAACACTGGACACCAACCTTCCCCACCCTGCCACTTTTGCCCCTACCCTAGACCGAGCGCAATCTACCCCTACTATTTACCCCTACTGGCGCGAATTCGAAGCCACGTGGTGCGCAATCGTCGACCGGTCGACGCTCGCGACTCTTCCCTACGAAACGCACTCGCCACTTCACTTTTCTTACCCTCCAGAGCTGTATACAGGGTGGCCCCGACAAGTCGTGGAGCAGTCGAGACGAGAGAGACTTCTTGGGAGAGAATTTATTTTATTCCAGTCGAAAGTTTCTGGATACTAGGCTTCGTTTTTTGGGAATTTGTCAGATTCCAAATTCGTCACATTGTGTAAAGAATGCGCGACGATTTAGGCCACGGAGCACCGTTGGTAAAATGAATTTGGAAAGCAATTGTGTTATCCTGGTCGAAATTGCGGAATGAGTTCGGTGTATATGAGACTTCGCTTGTTTGAAATTTGTCGTGTTCCAAGTTCGACACGTTCTGTGAAGAATGCGCGACGATTTAGTCCACAGAGCACAGGTCTACGTTAGTAACGTGAATTTGGAAAGGAATTTTGTTGACCTGGTGAAATACAGAATGAAAACAACAAGGATGGGAAAGGAGAGAAGGGAGAAGAAGCGATTCATGACTGCCCGTGTTTACAAATAAGAACACGAATAGGAATAACAGTCGGTGTATCGATTCCTTAGTTTGAGAGTTATAGTTGCTCCACGCGTATGTAACTGAGGGATATTCAAAGTAATTTCTCTCGAATACAAAACCTTATGCGCAAAAATTTTATTCTACAATTTGGACTTATTTTTTTTTTTTTTTGGACACTGTATGGTTTGTGTAAAGGGGTTGGTTTATGTTTGGGTCGGCTGTTGTTGTTAGGTGGTTGAGTTAACGGGGGTGGGAATGGCTTGAAGAAGGTTTACAGGAAGCGATGGAAATGAATAGGATGTAAATTGTGACTGCGGAAGGGTAAGGTGAAGGTAGGGTGAGAAATCTGTGGGGTGAATGGAGTTTAAGGTGAAAGTCTAATGGGATGAACTTGGAGGAATCGTATATAAGGATGTATTGTAGTTTAAAGTCACGGGGAGAGAGTAATTGTTGCGTGTGCTTCTAACATGTGCATTTTCAAGGGATAATTCATTTTGTGCCATTTGTTCGGGACGTCCTTATTCATGCAGACTGTTTATTTCGAAATTAATTTGCCTACTGTGTAACATCGTAATTTTGTTCGCAGAAAAATGGAGTTCTAATAGACTTCTTATTTCTACGATTTTGTTTATTTTATGTTTTAATCATTTTTCCCTAAAGTAACATTCTTATTCATCAAAAGTATCTCCTGTGTATTTAATAAATGGTTCAATAACCTAATGGGGAACTAACATGTCGATACTTTACCTAAATCTACATTGGTAATATACACACTACCTAGCAAAAATATGGAACAATATTTTGAAACTCCTACTCTTCAAACATTGCCAAAATATCTCTGCCATGCATACATCGCCTAAGCTATCACAGAATCCCCGAAAAAATGTTCATTTCTCCCACTGCACAACACATTCCCCGCAATCCTTAAAAGCAACAAAATATCCCTCATTTCCCTCCCAACTCTACCAGACTTCAATCAACATCCCTCGCAGTACTTTAATCCCAGCCCGCCCCAACCCATCGGATTCCAAGCGCCACAAGTTCATCGACAAAGAAAAACGAACCTTCCGTTCCTCCCTCAGAAAAAAAAAAGAAAAAAAAAACGAGGAACCACCGACGAAAAGAAGCCAGACTATATAAAATACGTCGACATACACACTCTCTCTCTCTCTACGTCGACACCCTTCAACATCCCCAAGCGACGTCGTATCATCACGACACGTTTCCCAAGCGTTCCTGGCATTCGTCGTCGTTTGCCCGTTTCTTCTCAAACCACACGAACGAATGTTTCTCTGTTTCGCGAAGGGGGATGGTAGCAGAGCTTGAAAAGCCGTGGCCACGTCGCATTGTGCGCCGCCCCGAAGCGGGAAACGCCGTTGCGCCCTTCGTCGACGATGCAGCCGACGATCGATCGGCTGCAACGTTGGTCCGCGTGGAACGAGTAGGAACTCGCCCTCGCTGGATCGCCGGATGAACGAGGACACGTGGCCTAGTATAGGGGGGTAGGACGGGAGAGAACGAGCGCGGATAGAATACCGCTCGTAAATTTCGGGGCTGGGTTCACGAGCTGGTGAAGGTCAAGTGCTTGGCCACAGATGCAGCCGGCGCTAGTTGGTCCGGGGGTGCTGCCTCCTCGGCCGTTCTCCAGATCGCGCGGTTCTCGCGTGTAATTTCGTGAGTGCTTGCCGCGCCCGGCCAACTGGATTATCTGTGTACACACGGACGAACCGGTTGCCGGAACTTGGTATCGCGCGATCAAATTGCCCCTAGATAGGTACGCTCGCGAAGTTGAGGAAGGTGTAAAAATTAGGTGTAAAAGCGGAGCGTTTGAAAGTTTCTTTTTTTTGGGGGGAGAGTTGGGGTTGTGTTGATTTATGCTGATGGGATCTGGGGTTTCTTTTTAAAACGTTTCCGTGTTTCCAGGATTTTATACGATGGTTATTTATATGTGCGTTTTGTTTCTTCTTTTTAGGTTGTTTTAGTAGATGGTGTTGATTGTAGTGTGAATTGGATTTATTGCGTGGGGTGGTTCGGGGTTGTTTCATCGTTTTCTGGTGGAAAATATATAACCGTAGGATATGTAGAATAGAACGACAAGATTTACCGAAGCAATATATTGCTTCTTTGAATAAACTGTTGCACGGAGAATTCTCGATAAATATTTCGGCGGTGTTTCGCTTACGACGAACGTGTAAATTATTTTCGCTGAATATTAAGAAACCGTTGAAATTTTCCTCGGTCATTGTTTCTTACTTCCAATACCAGCGGGAGTAATTTAGATATTCATTATGAGTGAAACACCCTGTATAGTCTGAGGAACTAATTAATTCCCATAACGAACCAGTCACGTTTTTTACTTAAGTGCAAGAAGGTATACGAGCAGGCGAAAGGGGGTAGCTTTTATCACTGGACAAGCAAAAAGCGCACGATTCATAGTACGAACACATTGTTCGAGGGTAAGAGCAACGCAACTGGAGAGAATGTGCCGGTTTTACGAACATGCTGTGCGGTGGGAAATTAAGTAAAACGCCGGAAGAAAATTAGATTGAACCGAATGTAGATTGGTGCATATATCTTCCGGTGTAATTAATTAAATTCCACGGTCTCCCCTTGGCAGACAAGAGTAAACTGTTTTATGCGTTCACGCGGTGAAACGTTTAAGGCTTCGATAATTCTGATGCACGCTATTAATATCAATGTATTGTTATATTTTTAATGCAGATATATTTTCGAAGGAACACATCGTATACTATATGCAGAAAGTTGGACGGGTATAAACTACGATAATGACATATGGGTTAAAAGTTTCGAGTTACGCGGGGAATATCGTGTCATCGAACCGCACATCATGTTACTCATTATTTATGCAAACTTTTACTCCCGATACTGAAATATTGCTCTAAAACGGTTCAACGTCGTTCTCGATCATGCTGAAAATACGATATAAAAATATTATCGATACATTGTCAAAGAACGAATTCTTCTTAACTTAGGAAAAAAAGAAAATCATTTCCACAGTCCACTTAAAGGAGACCTGAAATGGCCTCATCCCTCAAATGTCTCACCTCGTGTGTATAGACACACCGGGTGCTACCTTTCCCTAGCGAATCACGTACACAATGACCAAAGATACGAGCCGTGATGTCGAGGAAGGGGCCATAAAAGCCGGACGAAACAAAACACGGAACCTTTTTACCTTGTCTCTTTCACCGGTGTATCCTTCGCCCCCACTGTTGCAAGTGTTCTTCGTTCCTATTCAATTAAGGCTCACGAGGCCGCCACTTTCACCCCTTGGGACGCGGTTTTTCCGCATAGAAATGATCGTACGATCCACCCTCTATATCTATCCTGGATCACCGATCTATACCTACTACTCTTTCGTGACTCTGTGACGGCGCGAATAAGGGAGAGACGCAGCTGTCGTGGGGGCTAATGGTCAATTTCGTCCGGACAGAAGCTTCTGTATGTTTGTCATGGTTACCAATGTACTATTTAGGCGACGGGATTACAGACGCGCCTGCTTACCCTTCCCTTACCGAAGTCGGAGGGCTTTTAATAATTCCATCAGGGGTCGTTTACTCGTGTCCAGTCTGAGGGTTAACGTTCCCGTGGCACGAGGTATCCTCGCAGGTCTACAATTTTCGAGGAGTTACGATCGATGTGACGGGCCGAAGAGGGAAATTAGGGCCGTGGTGCGCCGGCAACGTGCATGATGGCCTGAATTCACGTGGGTGTACCAGGATAAGGATGTTTTATCGCTGTTGTCTTTAGCCTAAGGAGAGACGTCTGGAAGTGTGGGCTGTTTATGCCGAGTAATTCGATTTTCACGTGGATTCGGAGTTTAGGAGAGTGATATCGTTCCTAGGATGAAATACGGTCGTATAAAATTGCTTCGAAAACGAATTGTATTGTGTCATTTCTTAAGTAGCGAGACATTCTCAATTTCCATCTGAAGAAGGATAAAATACACGATTTGACGATACTATTGTTTTATTATCCAGGAAACATGTATATTATAATTGTATACTCGTATAAGACACCACGACCATAAAATATATTTGCCAAATGTTTTTACAAAATAATTGCTAATAGCTAAAGTAAGTTTAGAGAAAAGTATCACAGGACGAATAATTTCAAAGTTACTTCGATGATGTCGAATAAATTGAAATTTTGTTTACATTCTCCGAAAGTAAAAATAACAATTATTCTCCCAGCACACGATCAATTTTGCGACACGTTCACACGGCTACGTTTTGGTGGGCTCGTCCCTTTTCTTCTCGTCGTCCTCCTCGTCGCTCTCGTCCTCGTCCATGGAAACATCCTCCGAGCCGTCGTCCTCCCTCTTATTTTCCGTCTTCTCTCCGTCTGACTGATTCTGTTGTTCGTCACTCTCTTTCCTGTTCGCGTTATCAGGACTGCTTTTCTTCTCCCCTTGCTTGTTATACTCGTATTCGTTGTCGTTTTCGTTGTCAATCACCTGCTCGTGCGTAGATCTGAAATTAATCGACCGAACAATCACTGATTGCCCTTGAACACCAACTACGACTTCGCGGTCGAAATTAGGATCACGCTGGTGACGTCAGTTTACGTGGACAGTTTTCCAGGAAAAGAGGGGACACGTTCGAAGGAGCTGAAAATAGTGTCCCTAGAGCGTGAATTAAGTTGTTTGCAGCGTACAGCTAATAATACTTGCAAAGTTTTTGCGTTGGTGGAGGCATAGAACTTTCTGGAGTACGAGTGATGGCAGTGACGTTAGAGGAATTGTCTCACAAAAATTGTTCTACGTTGAGCTTGTATCAGCTGCGAAACACTTTATGACGATACTTTTGATCGCAGGAAAATTGCATGTTTTAACGGAGCCTTGAAAGGACGTTGTCATGTCACACTAACGTGTTTAATTATAGGAAAATATCGATTGTGCTGAATTTTTGACGCTCTTGTTATAATATTTTCGCTGCTATCGAAAGTAAGAAAAAATGACTAAGAGAGAACTATCTATGATTTAAATCTCACGTCTACCTGGCGATGATAAAAAAGTCCTCTCAATGTAATCTCGAAGGCAATACGAAAGAATATCTTTTTAACGAAATTTCGAATTTCGAAAAGGAAAGTGTAGTACCGATGGTGACACATCGTTGTTAATAACAGAATAGTGAAGTTAATTCAACGTAATTACCCGCTGCGCCTTCTTCCGCGCCTGCGTCGTGATCTCCTTCGTCTTCTGGATCCGCTCCTCGATCTTCTCCTCCTCCTTCGACCGCTCCTTCTTCTCTTCCGACGCCTTCTGGCTTCCTGCACTTCGTAATCTTCGAATTTAATCGGCGTTCGACGAGGACTTTTGTCCCTAACTTGTGATACCCTGCTGACCGACTTTCGGACTTTGCCCGCGTAATTGCCGTCGTTCATGAGGTCCGACGAAACACGGAGCAGCTTATACGCCGCGTCCTTTGGAATTAAGTAGCCAGACTCCACGCCGAAGTCGATTGCTTTCTGGATGTATTTCTTCATTTTCTTCACCCCTGTAATGATAAAAGATCTGAGTGGTTAATTATAAATAGCAATGGATATATGTTTCGGTAATTGTGAAAGTGGATCAACAATAAGTGAAAAATCACCCTTATTTTGTGTTTCATAATAATGTGAAACGATTTTTGAACGATTCAATGGTGTTGGTAGTAAAAATGTTAATTATGGTTGGAAAAAGGAAATCGTTAAAGAGTATATTTCTTGCATGAATGAATTACTCGGGAAACATGGCAGATCGGATTGCAGTTTAATCGGCTCTCCTAACGATAATGTACCGTGACGTTAATTAATCATTTGATCGTCCTTGTGTAATGGTATAATCGAAATTGCTTAACCTTTTTTACGCTCATCGAACAATTCGATTGTAGCGAAGCCGTGATAAATGTTGGTCGAGGAGAGATTACGATCAAATCAATTACTAAATACTAAATATATCAAATTATTTATCACACTATCATGCATTTTCGAATAAACACAGATAATAATCTAAACAGCTTCCGTTTCTTCAGCAACTTTCAAATCATTAATATTAAACATTTCTAACTACAAAAAATAAAATATAAATGCAAATCTTAGAATTATTTCCAACATACAAAAATCTCACATGACAGTGGTCCAACATGAATAAAAGATTCAATAACAAAAAAAAATTCACTGTCTCCCAAATTCTTTTGCATCATGCAGCAGAAGTTCCTTTCCCAAACACAATAACCATTCTCGTTCCCCTAACCTTCCCCTCCGTTGCATTTTTGCATGCAGGCCGAGAGCGTGTGGTCCCTGGAGGTTTGGTGCCTTTTCACACGATGGATCCTGGAATTCCTGCTCGAGTCCTTTCGTTTGTTGGCCATACTGCCGGCGGTCCGGGAATCCGGGGAATCCAAAACTTCGTGGCGTTTCCGTAGCTTGCAAAAGCGGCACCTCTGAGCTTCTCTGCCTCGTGACGACGCTACTGTTCCACCCTCTTTGCCCCCATCGAGCGTGAGGAACTTGTAGACTAGCTCTGAGATGTTTGTCTTGCGACGTCGTGGCTCTGAAACGCAATGAATTTTCACATCTTTCACGGCTGGCAAATTTCACTCGAAAACCTTCGATTTTTCATTGCCTTGAAACGCAATGAAGTTTCATATGACACCTTAAGTTAGTACATTTCACTCTCACAGCTTCGATTTCTCGTCATTCTAATCCACACGCGTTCGACTTCCGTCGAAACGAAGTTGGAAACGAGCGAATTCGACGCGATTGTCACGGGGCGATTGAATCGCGTTCTATGCAGTTTGTTGGAAGTTGAATGAATGTAACGAGGTGGACGAAGCAGGAGAAACATTCGTTCGTTGGTTTTTCAAGAGGATAAGTTGATTTTAAGGGAAACGAGCGTTCGTTGGGGATTGTTGAGTGTGTGGGACGCAGGTTTCGAGCATCTCCGTGAAACTTCACATTTATGAAAGTTCAAGGGCGCGCATGCTTTGATCTGTGATTTTTCAAAAAGTTTGGCGAAAAGTGTTCCAGCCTTGGACGTCGAGTGCTGAGAAATTCTGACGTGGAAAGTTCTAAATGGAAAAACTACAACTTCGAAGAGCTCGTGTTTGAAAACCTTGGCTGTAGAAGGTACAAGGACTCTCCGGGAAATTTTTCGAATTTTCAATGCTCATGATTTGACAGCTCTACAAGTTCTAATGTGAAAAAAAAGAAAACAAAAGAAGTATTTATTCCAAAAGATTGAATATCGAAGTGTTCTATTTTCCTGTGATATTTAGAGAGAAATTTAGCGAGAAATTGTTCGAGATAAGAGATAGATTAGCGGCTGTGTTTCTGTTTCATTACTGTTCAAGTGATCGAGCCCCCGTTTCAACGATCGAAAATGCTCCAACACTTCACAGAATCATTGGAATCCACGAGGGAAATTCTCAATGGACCGGCACACGTTGTTTGCTGCAAATATTGAATGAAGCTCGACGTTCAGAGTTCGAAGGAATCGGTTAGAAAGCGGCTGAAGGAATACAAAGTGCTGGAACGTGGGTGTCGCCTCTAAATATAGCTAACAGAAGAGAGCGAAAGAAAAAAAAGAGAAGTAGGTGTCGCGGGTAGCTTTTGTAGTATTTCTATTGACGATCGACGAAGAAAAAAAACTCGGTCAACGATGTTTCTAAGCTGCTTTGTTCCTTTCGTTCTCTGGTAAAAAGAACTGTGCGAGTAGATGGAATCACGAAGATATCGCGACGATTAAATTAACTATATTCAACGTTCGCGGAGATTAAACTGACCGTCCGTTTCATTACGGACCGCTTAAAAGAGGATATTCTTTCTTTCGAACCGAGTGGCTGGGATTTTCATTACACGAATTGGATGGAGTTTTAATTACCTCTGGCAACCTCCGGGATTTTTTTTAATCGCGCTCCAATTTGTTTTCGTTTCAACGATTAAACATCGCGTATTTTTTCGTGAAAAAGTGTGTTTTAATAATTTCGAATTTGCGTCGAATATATTTCATTGTATGTTTAAATATTGGTTTAATAAGTACAAGTCAAATTTACTCTCTGATCCTACTTTATCACTTGCAACCGTAATTAATCTTTTGAAGCTGACGCTTCTGAAGGATATACAGGGTGGCTCACCTAACGAGACCACGGATATTAGTGGACTGATTAAAATTTTTTTTGCCTGTTTCAAAGGATCGTCAAAGTAACGATCTTATATTTTTTCTCTTTCCTTTAAAAAAGTATTCAAAACACTAACCCTATATTTTTCCCCTAAGAGACCTAAAAAAAAAAAAAAATGAACGTGACCTTAAAAACTTATTTTAAAAGAAGACAGAAAATGTCTAAGGTCGTGATTATCCTTTGA